TTTTGATGAAAGACTAATAGATAAGGACGTGAGAGATGACAGACAAGAAAATACGTGAGAAATAAAAGAGACAGTGACGTTTCCTCTTATTGTCGATAACAAAATTTAAGTCATCATAAATCTTGTCAACTTTACTCATTTTCTTTTTACTGCTTGTAATATTCTAAAACTGAATATTTGTGTGGTAAGAAGGTTCATGCTTTGAGCAATTTGCTTTATTTATTAAAAACAAACCTCTCATATTTATGTGATTATTGCGGTTTCAATACACCAAAATGGAAAAGGAAAAATGCACGAAACATTCCTGTTAGTCATTTAAAGACAGAAATTATTTGTACCATGTATCTTTAGGTACTTATTTCAACACATATACTTGAAGACATAAATAAACTGAAATATAGTACAACTGAGCTTACTAAAAACTGAGCTAAGTATTACATTAAGTATTGTGGCCCGGCAAAGGGACGTGAAGGGCGTATTCTACCTTAAAAGAATCTGTGTTAAGAATTCTCTTACTGCATTTTCTTACTGCAATTCTCTTACTTAATTTTATACTCCAATGTACATATGAAATATCTTTGATAAGAATAACAAAAATTCTATGGATTGCTTTCAAACTACCTTTGATATCGCTTTAACTCTGGACCCTGACTAAGGTAGTTTCTGACATAAAAACAACTACTTTAACTAAGTGTTAAAGCTACAGCTTTCAGCTTGCGACGTCAATTCGGACCAATTTTCTCATTTATTACAATATATTTGGCGAAACTTTTAGAATGCACTATGACAAAGAATCATTTCGTTAAGTGCATAAACTAAACGAGAGATTTGAAACCTAGGGAATGGAAGGAAACCATTTCTGTGTTTGTTGCCAATGTACAGGAAGGCACCTGAATTTCTCTGCCCATCTCCAGTGACACACTTAGCTATGCTTCACTGATCAAACCGTTAGATCATTCCTGGGTCTGGATATGGTTTTTCAATACAGTTATACTATCGGTGTTTATCCAACATGTATGATGACCATGCTTATACTAGAGAAAACTGGACTATAATATAATATAATATAATATAATATAATATAATATAATATAATATAATATTTAAATTTACTATTTCATATCACGGAGAGTGCCAGGTAGTTACGCCCGACAGGGGCATCATTATACTTCTTTAAAATACAGATAAGGTTAAATTCAGTTAACATTCCTGGTTGTTGGCACACAAATCGCCCGGCCCTTAGGTCGACTTCACATAAAGTGGTTCACCCATCGTGAACGCGCCACGTGACATGAAACTGTTGTTTTAGGAAGATCCGGATGCAGTTGGCGGACATGAAATTGTTGTTTCAGAAACCCCTTTTTGACAGTAATAGCTTTCTAGTCTTCAGTGAAAGTAACTGTAGCAATCTGTCCAAAAAATCAATGAAACTCTCGACAAAAACCAGCTACACTTGGGTATTACCATTTCTACAATGCCGAATTGTTCCGCTTTCTCATTTCATATTGGGGTGTTGTCCACTTAAAATGCCGTTATGCCCTCTTAAAACACTCGTGTTTAATCTTGGTGTTGGTGTTGGTGGTGGTGGTGGTGTGTGTGTGTGTGTGTGTGTGTGTATGTGTGTGAGACAGTGTTTGTGTGTGTGTGTGTGTGGTGGGTGGGTGTGTGGGTGTGTTGGGGGTGGGGGAGACTAATTAATATATACACGAATTCTCTTTTGAGCAGGGGTTAAGAGTGAGTATCCAAAAAGGAAACACCAAGCCTTTGGAATACAATGTTAAGCACAGGTCATAAGAAAAGAACAGAAAAATTACAGACAGCAAACCCTGTTGTTAGAAGACTAACTTTTGCATGCGCTTTTGGAGGCATGCTTTTTCTGCTACTCTGCGTTCGGAACAGCGTGAAAATATTAAATGGGTGATACCAACGTCATTGGTTGGAATTATAAAATGCGTGTTTTCCTGTTTTTCACCCACATCTGATATATATATATATTAGCGGTTAGCTGTTTTGTTCATTGTGCGTGATTGGCGACATTATCCGATGATGTGATTGTTGGTGCATAATAATATATCTGGGCATATGTACGCTGAACTTTTCTAAGATATAAACGTTAATTACAGTATAAAGATAATATTTTGTTTATCGAAATGATTATGCCATACGTTGTGTGTGTGGCTCTTTGTTCACAATTTGGACATGGTACTTCAACTGCTTAAGTACTTTTGGTTAATTGGAATACTTTGTTGATATTTTTCGTTTAAAAGTACATACCCACTGCCCAATGAAAGTTTAGTAAGACACAAATGAGCAATAGTACTGTAGAATGTAGATATCACATTTTGCACACCCCAGTGCTACACAGATGGCAAGTGTCATGTTCTTTTTATTAGGCCTACTTATAAACTCATAAGTGTAGACGTTGAAAAAACTTTTAGTTTAATGCATCTGTTCTTAGATACGTAGCATTTCACAACAGCTGAAATAAAATCGAAAATTCGAGGAAGGAAGTATATGTCTGTAAAAATTGCTTTTCTCCAGGCTGAAATGAATGTTGTTGACCAAGAACGTTACCAAATAAACTGCATTTGCAGATATTACCCAAAAAAACCATGTCAAAAAGTACCGATATTCCACATGGATTGCTATTGCTAAACGTTCGAAATGTCTTGTTAGTATTCTCTCTCTCTCTCTCTCTCTCTCGAGCACTTTTTCCACTCACTTTTTCAACAACCTAATGCCAAAACTGAAATCAGCGATTTTGGACACAAAATTACATTCCACAGAGGTGTCACAAACCCCATGAGCACACCACATGAGACATCATGTTTACAAAAATATCCATGGTATTCAAAACCCAGCACCATGTTTGTCGGTGACAGAGCCAATTGGCTATCAATACTCCCCATGGAAATGGTCTTTATGAATCGACATCGACTAAGTTAGTTGCAACTGCTTTTTTTTCATCCTATTGAAAGAGTTTAAGACCACTTTAAAAATCAAGTGAAACAAAAACGAAATTAATAATTTGCATGTTGGGAGAAATGTCACTTGAATGATTTTTTTTCTGAAAGTGCGCATGTCAGGTTCAGTATGATGGGCATGATTGTTCATTTAATGCCCCCATTTCACACAGACCACGAATCCCACGAAAGGCCATGAATTGACAAATTTCACGATTCGTGGTTGAATCGTAATCAGGTCGTTAAGTTCTTAACAGATTCGTATATATTCGTAGTCAGTTCTTGCACTTCTTGACCAACAGGAATTGGTAGCAAAAACTTTGATGCCCCTATTTCACACAGACCACGAATCCCACGAATCGCCAGGAACTAAAAATTTCAGGATTCGTGGTTGAATCGTAATCAGGTCGTGAAGTTCTTAACAGATTCGTATATAATCGTAGTCAGTTCTTGCAATTCTTGATCAATCGGGAATTCGTGGCAAAATTTTTGAGCTGTTCAAAGTTCTGGCCACGAACTCCTGATTCCAAAAAATCCCTGTGAATTTCTGGACAATATTCGTGCGATTCCAGCCGAATCCCACGAATATTCGTAACACTATCGCACCTGTATCGTAACTGAATCGTAGAGCGTGTCGAATTAGACCAGAAAATTGGCAAAATCTCACGATTCCAGCCGAATCCCACGAATATTCGTAATACTATCGTACCTGTATCGTAACTGAATCGTGAGCGTGTCGAATTAGACCAGAAAATTGGCAAAATCTCACGAATCCTCACGAATCCTGAAATTTGTCAATTCCTGGCGATTCGTGGGATTCGTGGTCTGTGTGAAATAGGGGCCTAAGCAAACAATGCATCAAATTAGTGGAATAGAAAACTCATTAAGGCGGGTCCTTCAAATTTGATGTCCAATAGTTTCCCTTTTTCCGTGTTTCGATATTTAGGTATGCGGCAGTGTAGATCATAGTTAACTCATGACATTACTAATTTTTTTTGTTACCAAAAAGTCTTGTTGAAGTATTATAGGACAATTTAAGCCCACATGCCAGATTTAAGTACACTAGCAGCCTACGTGTAAATGTGATTTAGTAACCTACGTGCGGCTTGTAAAGTGCGCTAAACTTATTTAAAGGTAAAGATGGGAACTTGTTGACGAGAAATGCTTTATAAAAAGCAATTTCCGGGAGTTTTTTGGTACTTTTTTCCCCTAAAATCCATTTCCAAATTCACAATTTTATGCCTTGATTTTTTTCTGTGGTTTGCATTAAGATCATCAATTGATAATGATCGAGGCGACCACAACCTGCCACTAAGTGCCATTTCCTGCAATTCGTGAAACGCTTATATATACATGTATATACTGTATATATATTTATCAATCCATCTATCAAAAGCACATCAATTGTTTATATGGTTTTTATGCGTATGTTTGTGCTCCCCTTTTTTCTTGCGACTTTTTCTATATTGTTCAAATTTCCGCTTGACATCTGAAGGACTTCATTTTCCGACCTACGAAAGTGGATGCAGTTGGTTCCTTAAAAGTTATGTAGCAAGGGAACAATTTAAAATAATCAGTTCTTCAAGACCATAATGACAGTAATGCCTTGACCCAAAAAATTGAAAGTCAAATAATTAGAATATTGTACAAGGAGCAGGAAAAACACTTAATTATTTAAATCATTATTTAATGTAAGCTAAAGGAATCATACTTTTTCTCAAAGGCTAAATATAAGATTTATCGATAATGATCCCTAGAGGTCTCTCGAAATTTGATCGTCTAAAGAAACACTCCCTTACAGTATTTGCTTCCCTGCATAATTACCCCATAGTTCAGTTACAGGTAACCACAAATACAATTTTAACGTGACGTGACGCGAGATAAAGCAAGGACGCGTGGGAAGCTTTCTTTACATTTCTTTTTTATGTTCCGTCTTCTTTAGCTGATCGGTCTTATAAGGGGTGAGGTTGGAACGCAGTCTGGAGAGGCTACATTTGACTTAACAATTTTTATTAAAGGAACCTGCTTATTTTACAGCACATTGAAAATGAAGAAACCAATGGTAGTTCAAGTATACGCATCATTATTTTGCGTACTCCTCATATGTTTGACAGTTACAGAAGCATACTCATATATAAATGGGTAAGTTTTGCTACAGGATTTTTGTAAGTTGTATAGTTTATTTACCCTAAAGCGGTTCCTGTATCGCCTTTTCTCTACCGAAATACAAGAAAATGAAAGTTAAGATATATGATCATTTTCTCATTAAGTAAAACGGTTAACCCCTAAAAACATCAGCAATGTATGTTTGCCTTTTTTCGATTTAGATGAAACCGTAGCATAATATAGATAAATTTATAGGCCATTTTGCACTTGTGCATTCTTATGTTTTCAGCTTAGAAGATCAGGTCACGGATTTAGATAAAGAAGTAGATGTACTATCAAATTTGGTCAGGTATCTAAAATCAAGAACGACTAACGGGTAAGAATGATGAACTTATTAGGCTTAATTTTGAAGTCTAACATATTGTATGAATGGAAAATTCTCTCTCTCTCTCTCTCTCTCTCTCTCTCTCTCTCTCTCTCTCTCTCTGAATTTGCTTGATGGGTATCTAAACCTCATATGTCAGACATATGTTTGATAACAAGCAAGAAGAGTTCAAAACAAAACAAAATGTCATAAAAATAATGAATTAAATACCCTGTTTAGAAGTGGCTAGTTTAGTCTTTGAAGGTTGCATTTACCGTTACTATTCCTAAAGGGAAATGGAAGGCTATGCGTATGAGCAATTCAGCCTCTTAAAATCTAGAACCCAAACCCACAACTTTTAAGTCAATGGCCATTACTCAGCAATTATGAACGAGCATGTAATCATGAAAAAGTGATTTAAAAACATGACAGTGTAAGAAATGACAGTCTCGAGCTCACTAAGGATACACTAGATATCGCATGGGTGTATTTGTCAATTGCATATGTCATCAATTCAGGTAAGACAACTGTGGATGGACCAGGGAGGTTATTAAAGATCACACACACCCCTACCGGATTCAGGAACGGCTATTATGTTCCTTGTAAGCGTGTTTTATTTGCCTGGCTCATTCAGATGTCACAGATTGCACTTACATACATCATTTGCCAACAACTAATGTTTGTTTATTTTGCCTCAAAGTCTACCGACTTGACACATGATGACTGCTAATCGTTCAATAGCCCATCGATATGATTTACGTCCATTCGGGGGGATTTACAACATGTTTTATTTGCTTAAGAAGCCATTAATGTCAGTTAATACATAGACGTCACCATTATCATTTAAAGATGTGCCTAATGGCCGATAAGGCACCCAATGAAGTGGCTTAATGCCATTGTTTTCATTATTGCAGTGTTAAAGCTATGAGTAGTGACATTTCCCTCAGCTGTCTTCACATTGTGCATTTCTACTGATTTTGTACAGCTGGTTATTTGCATAGACGAAGAACGGTATGACTAATTCAAAAATTGGTGGGCGTTCACGTTTACACGTGCTTAAATCAGTTAAGATAGCGACCAATTAAAGATGTTTTCAGGATAAAAATAGATGCTGCATTTTTAAAATAGACTGTCATAAAGTTGAGGGACAGTGAAGCATAAAAAATTGTACTCGTGTCTGTATGTTTGTGTTTGTGGTGTTGTTAAATATTACTGACTTCAATAGCAAGATATTTATTGCAAAGTTAATCATGTTTTTGACCCTTAGTATTGGGGTAAAATTTCAATTTCACTTATTACATAACATCTTTGCAATTACAATCATCACTAATCACTAGTCATTTTACATGTGATAAATTATTTTTCAGACACATTCGAAAGATCTTGAAAGTAACGATGATCACTTACTATATCAAAGATTGTAAACTCTTAAAGATCCATTAAAAAGAATTTAGAATTATCAGTCAATTGTTCATCATTGTCTTTTATAGTCGCAAACGGCAGATAGACGCAGGCTTTGGCTCGAGAAACACGTTGGCACAGGATATTAGCAGACTAGTGCTAGGTAAGCATATACGTATATGTAAATGTAAATTGAAAGCACGCGATAACTGCATCGGTAGATGACAGCTTCGTATGTTACAAGACTTGTATATTCATTAAAACGTTTCTCCAGGAAGTGATTGTGTTTTGAAAGACAATCCCATTCTAGGCTGAATAATAACATTAAAATGCACCTCGGCCGCGCCCCGTGGCTGTCTATTGGGTTCCCAAGTCTGGTTTTACAAACCTCAGATCAATGGCACCAGCATTCCGTTTCAAAACTGCCAATTCTACTGTAGACGCTTCAAAGAGGCGAATGAGCAATATAATTCAGAGTTACTCTTTGAGTTGTGAAGCGAAGTACCAACAAAAACTGATTCTTTTTCACTGCAAAAATTCACACAAACTTAATCTCTACTGGGAATAATTAACCGACGGTATGAGTCGCTCTATGGCATCACTGTTATTTCCATACAAATGTATTATTTATAAAGTCTTTGAAATGTATGTTGCATCGATTTTCATGCCAATCAAACGTTCGTGTTTTATAAGAAATTAGAAAATTTTGTGTTCATGAAATATTTGACAATCAGTGCCAGAAAAAAATTGACTTCTCAAACAGATAGCCCTACATTTTCTGGTTACCACACTTCACGTTCAAAAGTGAATTCTCAGCTATCAAAATGTATATGATGTTCAAAAACCCAATTCAGTATGTATGTATGTATGTAATACCATTATGTGACCCTAGCATTATTTTGAGCCTAAAAGCATTATAATTGGGATTTTGTATGTACATAATTGGTAAATGGACTAAGTAGCTTACGGACATTTGCGTAAAATTTTTATATGACGGATGGAAAAATAATGTTCACTAAAAGCAAAATCTTTGATGCAGAATAATATTCTTGCGACCCCAATTACGCAGCGCAATAAAGTCATTATTTTTCGATGTTGCCTTTTGCGAGGGTGGGGGGTGCAGGGGGTGGAGGGTGTCACTTTCCTCCCTTTTCCTCATCTAGCATCCGTACCATGCCAACAACCACCTGACCATTCCTTCACCAGAACACACGTTCTCGAAAAAGTTTTCTCGCATCACATATCCTCAAATACTGGACCTAATTAACCTCAAGAAAACACATTTACAAAACCTGTTGAATGTTTTTCGACAATTTGGTTCGTACCAAGTATCAAATATATTTGCATATCAAACATGGAGACGAAAAATTAGTATTTTAACATTTTTATGCACATTTATGTGTTCGGGCGCCTGTATTTCAAAACTGCCTTATCAATATCGCTTGCAATGAGGTATTTTTTACTTTATTAGATCATAAAATCACATCGGTGTTATGGGCACGATTTACGTATTGTTGTTGGTGCTGAAACGTTCGAATACCAGCGCGAAATAACTTATGTGAAATCGTTTTAATCCATTTACTGAAATGAACAATGCTTCCCACGCATTTTACGAAAGTCTTTAAAAGGAACCAATCACAGGTTTATATATTATTAGGGATTTTTTCCACGGGTGGAATAATAGGTTGGCTAGCACAAGCCGCAAGAGCCACTGTTCGACATTTCTGTGCATAACTGTAGCATGTGACTGTAGTCCAATCATTGAAGCATCCATATACCAAATATTTATTCTTTTTAAAGAAAATTTTCTCACTTTTAGCCCAACACAAAGCCCAGAGCTACAACAGTCCCGGAAGAAGACGAAGGAGCATCAATACAAATAGTCAGCTGAGGCACTGAGTGCCTGGAAAAAGATCCATCGTGCACATTTAAGACTGGTCATTAACACGGACATTATAACATTATATTACAAGAGAAAAAACGTATTGCATAATGCTTAAATATCATATGAATATACATATTACCAAGCTTTGAACTCCACGGATGTCAGTTGTTTCCACCATGGACATGTAAAACTTTATTAACAAAGTTCTGAATTTAACATAAACGTCTTATATGAATGCATCTTTTTACTATTACAATGAATACGTGCCGTGCAACATATCATCAATATAAATCTAATAATGTCGTAAATTTTGGCACTGAGAGGTATTAAATCACCCTTCTCTCACTATATACATGTAAAGAATATGTGAGTTCAAATTTGTCCATCTCAAACATGTTCCTGAAAAAGAAATGCTTTTAAAAATATAATGTAGGCTATTTCATATTGCGGAACTTACAATTCCGATACCAACTCTTAAAGATTAACCAGATAGTCATTAATCAGCTCTGATACCGGGTCACAATGGGACACTACACGTCCTTTGAGCTGCATCAGAAAAAAATTTGGTCTGCCAACAACAACGCAATAAAATCAAGGACCCGGTACACTGGGTTATTTATTATTATTATTATTCTATTTATTATTTTATATTATTTTATATATTTATTTTATATTTGTATTTACCTATTTGATAAAAGTATTTGCAAAAGAAATGGGAAAGTATATATCTACGTCGTAGCAACATTAATTTTTGGGAAATCTTGACTGATCGAAAATGAACGGCAGCCTCCGTGTACATTACCAACTGGCAGCCTCCGTGTACATTACCAACTTGACCAGGATTAATATGCAGTGCAGTTGATTGTCTTGTTTTGACAAATGTAGGCCCCTACCTCTTATTTTGCATTTACCGGGACCAGTGCAAGCCTGCTGTTGGCTATGCTTTCCCTTTTGTTTTTCCATCTTGTCCTTTGTTTGTCCAATTTATTTATTTGAGACTGAAAAACGCCCATGGACATGTTACGGATGTAATCCTGTTTATAAGTATAAGGTCACAGCTTGCCCTGCTACGCCATACATGTCGAGACAAACAGGGGGTGAGTGCACGTGAATGCGCTTAGTGAATCTCTAGGTAAAAAGGCCAAAGCCACAGATGTGAAATCAGTTTGATATGTGCAATTGCATGTGTACAGGAAGATAATATGCTGGTCAATATAGGTGAATATGTGGAAAGATGTCAAATGAACACGACGTCTATAAAGTCCATTTACTTACTACCGGTAATTTTGCACCAAAAACACTATGGATGGCGTTTGTGAAACAATGATCACTATAATGTCTATATGTCAAGTGGGGCAGGGGCGGGTCCAGAGCTATTTACTGACAGTCTTCCAAATATCTTTGTTGATTCATCCTCAAATTTTGACCGTCTTCCAACAGAAAAAATTAGACACCCGTCAATGTAAACTTGAAAATCTGACCGTCTTCCGGAAGACCCAGAAGACGGCTTAAATCCGTCCCTGAAGTGGGGTCACTTCGATTATGATCTTTTGTGGTAGTGACACAGGCTATAGTCAGGGACCAGAATTACATTTTACGTTTTCTAATTCCTCTTCGCAAAATCAACGTTCAGGATATCTGAAAACCGGGTTTTTCTATAAAGGTATCAGATACCGAGTCAAATATGGTCAGTTTCAAGCGTCAGTGTACTCAGTCTGCTTTATCAACTGCGTATTTGGATGGCTTTCATTCTCTAGAAATCGAATTATTAGGAACCCATTTAATTGTTGACTTGCAACTGGATGGAAATTTCGTTGTAATAACTGCCCCATATTGTGGCATAGAACTTAATCTCCAAAAAGAATGGCATCTTTTCAGATGTCAAGACAATAATCGCCTGAAACAGTGTTTTGATAATTATCAAAGTAAGAAACAAAGACGAAAATAATTTAGGTTACAGTGTAATCAGCATATTTATTGGCTTGGATCATATCGAAACGCTGCGTTTGATACAGCAATTAGATAACACTAATTGACTGTGATTCTAATGATGAAATCAATTTGCACCGCCCTTATCATGTATGACGATTTCTTGGTGTTTGCTTGAAGTATACCTCAAACCTACAAATAACATCTCACGCAAAAGAAAAATAGAAAAGCTCAATTCCAATAATATCAATCTTTCAAGACTTAATTTCAACTTACTTCGATTTGGGAAAGAATGCAAACCAATAGGGATCCCATCTTATCGGTCTTAGCCAACAAAACTATAACAATTACTGAAGGTAACAATACGTCAAGATTCCAAATTCAATAATGAACCTTAAATATAAGCGTGATACTTCGCGTGACTGCCTTCCTGGTGAGTAAGGAAGTGAAAACTGATGTCTCTTTTTTTCGCTTCTCCAGCAACTACCTTCGGGCATAAGGGCATATTTTCCATTCATCATCTGAAACGTGATCCACGTGAATCAACTCATTACGAGAAAAACAATATTGGAAGAGTTGAGATAGGGTCTTTAAATCTACTCAAGATACCACTTTGATATTTGCTCTTGTTCTGATAATTTTTTTTATTATCAAAAGCAATAAGACGTGTAAGAGGTTAAATTTTATGATGAAATGAAAACCTATCCTTTTCTATGAAAATTTGACTAGCAAAACATTGTACATGCATGTATATTAGCTAAAGCTAGGCTGGGGACTACGGAGAACATAATTAGAAAACAGTTCATGCTGTTGCAAAAAAGTATCAAAAATTGTCATGACCTGATTGTCAAATTGTCAAACCTGATACCCCCCCCCCCTTTTCACTCTCCCTCAAGTTAGGCTCTACAAGACCCAAAAAGTAAATAATCGGTAGATCGTAGGCCCTTTGACTGTAGCATCTACCGCATAATTTCACTACTCGGCATTGTTGGAAAGGCATTTACCGATTTTAAAAGGTTTACAGACACCGCCTAGCGTGTGCACCAAGAATCATAGGGTGGTTTTTGAACCAAAAGATCAACATGATATTTTCTGTTCAGGAAAAATGCCGAGAGCAGAAATAGTTGACGCTTTATTAGCTACTAAATGCTACTAAAGCATTCGATTTTGTTGGCAGAAATTAACTTTTCACCTTGCTACAGAGAGTCGGATTGCCTCTCAAACTCCAACAAGGATTGAGAGCAACCCATGAGGATAGGACAGGCAACGTTTAATTTGATGGCATAAACAGTGGTAAAAAACAAAGCCGCGTTCTTTTTTCTTCAGTTATACGCCCCTGAGACGCCATCCAAAGTCATCCTTGTACAAAAAAGTGCTTAAACGCGTAATCATTAAAATGTGTGTGTGTGTGTGTGTGTGCACACGTGCTCTTAATCAATCACACTGGCACCAACAAATGCAAGCGAGGGCTCTATATTGTGTTAGTTGCACCTATATGAAGTGTGCAATATTCCGTCACAAAAAGCACATCAGCATATTGTACGCTGACTTGCCTATACGAACATTTTCAAAATCTGCAAAATTTTGCTGTTATTTATAGACATAACAGAGATTTGTGCACGATAGCAAATAAAAGAAAGATATTTTAATTTCAATTATAATTTTCTCGGTATTGAGACCATCAGTACATCTAGTACCAAGCTGATCTGCGCTACTCAAAAACAAGATCAGATTATACGCTCAACTTAAGAGGACAAAAGAAAATAATATATTGACAAAGTCACTGTAAAAAGAAGTGGAGGAATGAAAATAAGGAAAGAATGAAACAGACCCAACTAAACTTAACATAATGCTAATAAATAACTAACCAAATAATTGCACTCCTTACATTTTCAGTACGCTTAGTTCCGATCTATGAATCCCACGAACACTTTTTCTAGCTATTAGAAAGAAGATGCATGTTTTAAGGCATTTTATTATATAGGTTTCCCGGGGAATTCGATTTTCAGACCATTCAATTTAAATTCATACAACAATGGGTCATTCAGTATTTCCTCGATTCATTAGGAGAAAGGGATTACAAAGGATGCTGTTTTGCCTGCATTTATACTTACCTTTTCATGAAGTATATAATGCATTTAGCTTTGGGATTACATGTATAACACAAGAGCTAAAACACCGAGTTTTGGACTAGGATCGCAGGTGATTTTGAATCTCTGGTTTATGGCAGCTTGCTATATCAGGCCTTCCCAACTACCAGACTCGGCACCTAAGGATCCTGAATTAACCGGTATATCATCGGACCACGCTACCCGTTTTCAAGGTGTGTGTCAGATCGCATTTCGGAGTATCATACCCCAGAACAAATTTTGTAGCACGACTGCGGGCTCATCCACGCTCGGCTGAACAACCTTAAACTGTACTCTTACTTTAGAGTACTCTATTTTATTGTCTCTATGGGGATATATGGGGACTTTATGACATTCGGTTTGAATGTTTTAACCACTTTTGATAGGGCTTTTTTGCATTGTATTAGATTAATGTGGCAGTCTAAGGTTCATCTAGGTGGCTTTCAAATTTATGCATCCGGTTTTAAAATCATATAGCGATTTTACGACAATCGTTTACTATCCAATCAAGGTGACAGCCGAGCATGCCAGGGCTCATCCTGTCGGTGTTCTGGCTGATACTCCGAAATGCGATCTGACACACACCTTGAAAACGGGTAGTGTGGTCCGATATACCGGTTAATTCAGGATCCTTAGGTGCCGAGTCTGGTAGTTGGGTAAGCCTGTATATACGTGGGATTCGTTAAGACCGGGTTGAACACTTTTTACTGAATTGATATATGACTGATTGGAATAGGCAGTGAAAAGTTGTTCGTTCACAGTGATCCTACTACTAGAGATAAGGATGTAGGTCCACATACAGTGGATATTACTCTAGAAACCAAAAATCACATTTTTTCTTGAACTCGTGCAATCACCGCCTCAACACAAAATTACCTATTTGATTCGATCAAGTCGTGTCTTAAGAACAATTGTTTGCACACATAGCATAATCTTAACCACAATTTCCGTGAAAATCAATAGCAATTGTTGCTGATCTAATTATCTTAAGTGTTTTCATAATGATAACAGAGGAAATTGAGAAACAAGGCAGAGCCTACTAAGATGGTATTCTTGTATAACAGGTGGGATTTTTGACATGAAATAGGAGTGGAATACTACGTCATGTCTTCGAACGAGTTCTCAATAAGACATTGCGGATTTAATAAGTTGCGCCCTCTGTCGCCAGAGAGAAACATAGTGTCGCTTAGTATCGAGTGCGGGGGTGAGGAATTCCGCATCCATCACAAAAAGGTGGTCAATCAAAAGTAAAAAAATGTGATTAACGCTTTTCACTCTCTCTCTCTCTCTCTCTCTCTCGCCCAGACACGCACACACACACACACACACACACACACACACGTGCACGCACGCGCTTCTTTATACCAGTTGTCTCTCCAAAAGTCTTCCAAAACCAAACACAGCCTCACACTCCGCCCCGATCCTGAACATTTTTAAACTTCGTGTTTCCACTTCTTTCCACACTATTGGTAGCACTTAACAAGGTTTGGATCACACGTAATATTTATATGCACGAACTTTGTTAACTTTGCAATACACATTTAATAATTTTTCGAGAACACTAAGGTGGACAATATCCCTCGCTTAATTTTCATGAACTTTACTCTTCCCTTGCTCATTAAGATATATTGACATTACACTGTGACAATATTTGAAATAATCTTGTCACATTTATTAGAATTACAAAGGCAATATAAAAGAGAGGGTATGCTCGATCGTTACTGGTCCTCTGAGCAATAAACCAACCAAGAACTAGAAAGGTGAGGATTTTATGAATAGTTTATCACACAGAGGTACTTTTTCATTCCCGTTTATCAGTTTATAGTTCACTAACTATAAGATAAAACAGTTCGTCCAGCAAATTTAAGTGTCATTTACACAATTATATGGGTTTCTTAGGAGCACTCTTTGATCGTTAATAGTGCTGATCAATTATAGTTAATATTTTCTAATAGGAGAGGACTAAGGTTTCAAAGACAAAGAGAGTAATTTAGACGAATTATGGTTCATATTCTGCGAGCGTCGTGATAGAAAATTTCACAAGGCCATTACATCCTAGGCAGTAATGGCCATCTATTATTCCGACATTATAAATATTCTTCATTTTCCAAATTTAGGACATAAATAGAAAACTGGGAAAATGTTGCCAGAATGGAGAAGTTTAGCTCACTGGGGTATGACTATTGTATTTTTCCATATCCTTGTTCTGAATCTAACAGGTGCCTCAAAACTGGAAGCCCTCAGGTGAGTTGTGTCATTTTAAAAGTCAGGATACATTAGAAAACTAATTACAGAAAATGTTGTGAACAGTTACATACATTCCAGAGTAAGCAGAACTCGCAGAAAGAAAATCAGGTATTATTGCAAAACGCTGGGACGAAAGGTTATTTTGTTTAAATGACGTTTTCTTGGTCAAATGAACAAAAAATTGTAAATGAAAACATATATTTTGTGTCCTTTAGTGTTGATAAATGAGCTTGCCAGTGTCATGAAGGACCGCAGGTCTGGAAGTCTATTTATGATGTTGTCGGTCGACTGCAGTCAGTATGATGATGATGATGATTAGTATTGATACATTCATTGATTTGGGCCTTTGGAAAATTGTCTGTTTTACATTCTTTAGAAGTATTAGAAACCTAAAACGCCAACGCAGCCAATTTTCTGAAATGAAGCGAGTATTAGAAGAAATCGACGCCGATTTATTGAAGCAACAGTAAGTATATCGAAACGATTTATTTTTGTGACACTCTTTGGTAGGGCCTATGTAACAATGAGCGCTTCTTCAGCGCATTGTTTACCCTTGGGCTTTTCTGCTGTTTTCATTTCTTCAAATAATTGCCCATACAATGTATTTCATATGAATCATATGGTGTCGTAATTCATTTTTTTGGTATAAATTTGAGTTTCAAGGTTGAAATTCACACGAATATTTGATAATAATATAGAACATTACGGATTACAGAAGAAAGTGTCTTCTCGTATGGTATTTGTAAAGGTTTGAGTACAGCACAGCGTGTATATTTTCAGGAAACGGACATGTGCACTGAACGGGGGCATGAGCACTTTCTGTTTTGGAGAAAACATCCATGATAAAATGAACGCATATGAGTATTTGGGTAGCCACAAGAGTCCTGGCAGAAGAACCATCAGATCCACAAGAGATCTTCATGCTTGGCGGTAAGTTTTATATTTGGAATTCATCTGTTTTCTATAGGCTACCATACAAGTGTTTGCTCAAGTGTTGACTTACTGAAAGAATGGAAACCCCAACCAAGCCCTCTAAATGTGCCATTTGGATATGCAGCTTTTTTCAAGCAGTAATTTTATGTATATGGCTTTTCTTCATTTATTAAACGGAGACAATTAAAAAAAAATTTTTTAATACTGTAGACATTTCTTTTTATAGATTTGCAATTGAATTAGTTCTCACTTAAGGTATACAATATAGCACTTTCCGCACTCTTTTTAATCACTTTAGCACCACCGATGACGCATTTGCTGCAAATGCCTTGCGAAAAAATCTTAACAAAATTCTTTTCACGTCATTAATTGCTAGATGAACATAAGCATGTGTTAACATGGCGCAAAAACTTTTTTCTGGAAATATCAGATCACAGATTACTGCAACTCAAGGACCATACAATGTGTTTGACCAGACAATCAACTTGTCATTTGAGTGCAAATTTGTTATGAAATGAAGTTGATATGGTGTCTACCTTTCACATTCCAATGTTGTGGGTTCACAAAATAGCTGTCTCGCGTTCTCAGAAACTGCACTGTAATGAAGTTAAGTTTGACGTTGTCCGTTGCATGGCAAGATTACTTTTCCCGTGATAAGATTACTTAATGATTTTAATAAATACAACGCATCGCTGGTTCAACAGCTTTCATGATCATCGATCATTTCAGAACCACACAATAGCGTTTTAAAGGAAGAAGGCCTACTTCTTAACAGGAAAATATCACGCTCCTGCCTCTTATATTTTGGCTTTGATAAATGATATTTGATAATTTTTTTCCCTCTGTTGAAGGCGAAAGTCGAATTTGCAAGATTTAGATAATATAACATAAAAGTTTACATATATATATATAGCATTGGTAAAAGCAACAATCAAACACCCATTGTCAGAGACATCACATTGAGTCTTTATGACATCACTTAACAACCAAAATAAACAAACAAGATGCAATGAAAGCGGTCGGGGCAAAATAATGCTCTTCTTTATGTCTTTTTATCATATATATATATATATATATAACAAATTAATATTATAATGTTCACTCAGATGAATATATGTTATGCCATATCCTCGTCATTTAAGGCTTATCTATTTAGATTTACCATCGAGCCTTTGTCTTCCAATTTGATTTGGCACCAAAAAGACAAGATCATACTTATAATATACGATAAATTCCTAACGTCTTCATCGAACAAATACATAAGAGTGGTTGTAGCGCATGCAGATTACGCTTATATCAAATGGCACCTTTCAAATTTAGTTAATTTCAGCAAGTCTGGTTAATATAATATCTCTTTACCGAAGGGAAATCATTAGTGCAATACAAGTGTATTTTCAAATTCCGAGTATAAGTTTGTTTTTTTTTTTTTTTTTTTTTTTTTTGGTTTTCAGAAAACGAACCTGCAGCGTGAATGGAGGCATGAACCCATTTTGCCTCATCTCCGACCTTGACGCCAAGCTTAACGCCCAAGAGAAACTTGGCAGCAAATTCGGACCTGGTAAAAAACGTGACAGTAAACCGAAATCAAGGTAATAACACAGTCATTTTCATGAGATCTCTAAATTATTTAAAGCATAGCTCTAGTCATCTGAACATAGGGTCTTAGCCTAATCTGACCGATTACTGACAGACAACGATATTTTACAGCGGTATAAATCGAGAGAGTATTATCTTATAAAGCTTAACTTCCATATTGAAAACTTCTTAGTTTTAAATTATAAGTGTTAATATTCCTGCATTGAGACTTTCAAGTCGATATTGAAACTATTTTTTCACAGGAAAAGGCGTTCCATTTACTGGACTGGACCATGTCCATCAGGAACGGGCACCTGCAGTTATCCACTGGTCCCCGCCAGCCAACCGTCCCCGTCCATAGGGAATACTGGCAACATGTATGGAGTAAACACTGGCTTAGGTAAACCCAATTTTGGAGGGTTTGGTGAACCATTTAAGAGAGCCCAATCAAACAGTAACTTTTATCTTACTGATGAAAACCCCTACGCCTTCTACAAGAGAGGCAATACAGCTGACATGGACAGGTTCTACTTCAATGATGACGAGTCCATGTCCAACTTTTACAAGAGAGATGGCGAAGATGGAGAATTTGATATGTTTGTTCAGGGAGAAGACGTCGGTCTCGGAGAGGATTCCGAAAGGTATTTTTTCTTCACTTTTACAAATTTTCTATCGTTTTCCTTTCATACATGCATGTAAATCTTACCATTATCTGAGCACTGTAAATGTTAAAACGATTTTTTTGCTATAGTATCATTTTTAGTACATGTCAACCAGTTGAAATTGATAGTTGACATTGTGACATAATTACCAAAAACCCTCTTTACATTATTTCAGCGTTCTTCGCAGTATAGCGAGAAAGAGAAGTGGAATCTCGTCCTTGAAGCGTCTGCTAAGCAACTTGGATGCACGCCTTCATAAACAACAGTAAGTTGCAACCATTTAGCTTTTAATAGTTAGCGAGATTTCTTATTTAGACAGTTAAAGAAGCTAAAAATAATGAAAAAATGTGTTCAATAAGAGCAATGCAAAAATTCATGAATAAGTGTTATATCCCTTTTCAATCATATGCTTTATAAGATCAAGCTTCAAAAGTTACACTGATGTCTCCAAAAATAAAATCACCATTAATAAAAAGAAAACTTCATGCCTCACTTTATCATGTTACCGACTCCAGGAAACGCGCCTGTCTCATGAATCTGGGCCACTCTTGTGACGTGGAGAGTGCAGCGGCAGCAGCCGACACTTGGAAGTACCTGAACTCCGTCCACAGCCCAGGAAGGCGGCGCCGGGACACAAGGGCGGCCAATAAAGATCGCAACACCGACGAAGCTGACGATAAAAGGGAGGTAACAGATGACAACCCAGCCGACGAAGAGAAGCGCGAAGAGGAGACGGCAGCTTCTGATGAATCCAAGGCGAACAAACGCGAAGAGGGTGTCAAACACAAAGGTGGAAGCTTCTACAGTTTTTATCCATCCCGACGTAGTGAGGACTGGCAAAGTTCTGACGGTGACGACGCTTCCCGGTTTTATTCCAAGTTTTACAAACTGGTTCCATTCTATTAAAATATCTCGTCACGAAACTAGATACAGTAGCTTATTACTTGTTAATGGTGGGTTAGAGGACTTTTATCATGCATTGCAAGTTGTGGCTCACTCATGCAACCTGTAAGCCCTGGAGCTATCTAGCGCTGCGTCCAACAGTGAGTTAATATGGCTTTGTATTTGATTCGTTCTAAACAAAAATCAAATTTTATTTGTAGATTGTCTTAAAGGCGGAGCACAAAAATGCCAGACCAAAAGCTATTTGCAACTTGACAATGCTGAAAACAGATGGATTTGATATTTGCAAATAAGGTATGGTAGAAGTAACCGCTTCGTTATGTGCAATAATTTTTGCGCAGTCCAAAATATTCATTGATTGCGCGACTGTAAATTACTGAAATAATTGGATAAATAAGGTTTAATAAATCTCTTACAATAAGGTAATAATTTTGATGTTTTTTTTATTTTTTGCTCAATTATAAATCCATATTTTTAAATAGAATGGTTTCAGATATGGTTCAACCTTAAAGCTAGGTTCTATGGCACACTTATCTATCACAGCACAGCAGTGTTGAACAGTAAAAAACATTAAGTGTATATCTCAGTGCATATATTACTTAACAATAACTCTTATAACACTATCAAATAACTGAACAATAAAATGTAAAGATATGTTACACACAGTGCACACTCCAAGATAAACTATAAAATACAAAACATGAAATATTTGCTAAAAATGTAATTAAAAATCAGTATATAAAATATGAACAATCAAATTATCAAAATCATACAACAGGTTATGAGATACACAGAAATATCCAGAAGTATTTTTCAACAAAGGCTTCAGATTTTACTAGAACTGTAACATTTTCTTCACCAGGACCATTTCATTTATGAAAATCTAGTCCAAATTCATGCAACACCAATATGGCAGCTTAATCATGTGACATTTCCTGATTTTCATATGACCTGCAACAACTAAATTCTAGAATGTCTACTTTGCTGTTTTGCAGAATTTAAACTGTAGTGGATGAAAGAAATGTGGCACAGAAAGAGTTGAAAATAAAAAACATGATTTAATAATATATCGCAAAAATTATTTCAATCAAGACAACATAATAAGTTATAAATACCAAAAAAAAACTTACATCTATGCTAGTGATCATCTTGGGTCTTGAAGCAAATAAAACTTTAAACTTGCTGTCTCTCATCTCTGATTTCGAGGCAAGATGGGGTAATTGTTAATTTATAATTTCATTTACCCATCTTTTTCTCGCAGTTCTGCAAAATACAACTCAGGAATTTGTCCCTCTTCAACATCTGTTGAATTGGTACTTCTTGAAGTGCTTGCAAATTCAAAGGATGCATTCCCAGATTTGACAAATTTGAGGCCATCATAGCCCTTCCTTGTTGGTAATCCGTTTATTACCACACTAAGTATATACCATACATTAGCCTCTAACTCCACCCCAGCCATTCCCATATCAAACTGATATATATCACTCTTCATCTTCACCTTGCATATATCTTGTCGATCATAAAGACAAAGTCCATTCAAATCTGATATTTGAAGTTTCACATTATATTCGGTGGACAAGCCTTTTTCTTCAGGCCCATATAAACCAACCCCATAGAGCAATATATTTGTATCACAGCAAAACACTATTGCATCAGTTTCCCTACCATTAACCACCCATCCTGATTCTGAATTTCTAAACCGTTTACATTTCTGCAGTTTGGAGTTTTCCTGCTTAGGCAAGCACCTCCTGCTGGTTGGAAAAGGGACATTAACTCGATTGCCAGTAATCAAATAATCAAGAACTTCCTTTGATTCTTCTTCCCGGAGGATTCCCTTTTGAACCACTTTGGAGTTGAAAAACTGTACACTTAGTAATGGAAAACGTATAAGATACAAACAATTCCCTAGTACCAATCTAAAATTAGTTCCAATGAGCTCTAAATCCTGTCTTTTGCATTCTGATTCTGCCCAACGGCAGCATGCTTCATATACACCTGACTCTGGACTACGCAGAGTATCTCGACTTAAAATAAGGGTCAAAGTTTCTTGCTTGATATGTAAAAATGACTCACACTTCAACACTGTTTCTGTATTGATATCTATATACTGCAGGCACTTGTCTAGGAGATCAGCCTCTCCAAATGACAAACTTTGTTCCAGTATTGTGCAGACATTTTCATCGTCCATGCTCTCTTGCAAGTAACCCTGACAATGGCGAATCAGTCCTGATAAGAGGTACTTCTTGGCTGCATATAATACCGCCATTACATTGAGAGGGGTAATATTGCACTCTTCAAAATAAATATACCTGAAAATGGAAAGGGCAAGTTATTTCTTGCTGCAAAGTGCCTTTGCTCCCTGATGTGATTGTCCTTTATATATATTACTGGCATTTTCACTGTGGTCGGATTTAGATGAAAATATTTCATGGAAACCAGACCATTACCCTGAACTGTTTTCATTGCATTGCTTGTGCACTAATGGAAATGTGTTGTACCTGTGTTTTGTATGGCAAACAAAACAGAGAAAATACATTACCTGAGTACAACCATAAAGCTTTCCTTATCTAGTTCTGGGACAACAATTTCTGGTTGCTTTTCTGCCAGTGTTCCATAGAACATTGTAAAGAACACGGAACTTCTACTGACCAGCATATACTTGTGTGCTGGAATAGGCTCCTGCTCCTCTCCCACTATAAAACTCACATCAGAAGCAATGCCCTTCTCCAACATGTACCTGAATAACACATAAAAATATTTATAATGGTGTAAAGTAAATTAGAAATTAAGTGTTATAACTGGATTTAAAAGAAATGGTCCAGTGGTAAAATGAATATCATGGGAGAGCATTTCAAGTTTTTTTAAGGACAATAACTATACTGACCTGATCAGATCAGAAAATGTCCTAAAGTCATATTTTTATAACTAAATATCCTACCAAATTTATTTACTTTTCCCAATTCAGACTCTAAAATAGTAAAACCCCTCAAATAAAAGCACCTGATGTTGACATTTCCTTATGAAATTCCAGGAAGACATGAAGGTCCAAATGAACCCTGATTCATTTAAAATGAAGTTTTCTTAACATTACAAAACATGAATGTCAAGTGAAGGGATGGGCTGAGCCATATTTCACAAGTAGACCATTTGTCAAGTAAATCCTGCATGGAATAACTTAACAAACAAAATGAATGTTTTTTACATGACTGTTGTTTACTAGTGAGCAAATACCTAAGCTTAGCAAGGTGATTGTTGCAGTGCGCAAGGGTAAAATGCTCTGATTAATTAATAAAAATATACTATATTTGTTTGAAAATACCCTAAAGGCATTTTAATGTCTAAAACCTAGCAAAGCTACCTGTCTGTAAGTATTCAAACCTTAAAAATGATAAACTAATCAAATTAAAGTACCTGATGTTGATATTCCTTTCTTAAAATAATATTATAATTAATTTTGAACAAATTAAATTAATTAGAATAAGTACAAAACATAAGGGACACTGGTCAAGCACTGATTTGTGAGTAGGAAAAGATTGAATGTGTATAGAATTAGACTTGGCACAAAAACCCTGCAGAGGATACCTCTAAACATGATTAATTAGCTATAGCTGATATTCATTGAATCATATTGGTCAAAGCTGAGCAAACATTAGACTATTATATCACTGGCCAATGCTTAATCACTGCTTTTCCTTTTGAATTTGGCTAAACTAAACAATAACAGAGCAGAACATACAAGTCCACCAATTCAAAATTGATTGGATTTTGGAAGTCAAAAGCCACTTTCAACCGATATAATAGCCAGGATACAAAGGCATAAACATTTCATTTCTGAAGTGTTATGCAAGATCCCTGTAGTAAATATTTCAGGGAATATAAGTGCAAGCTTGGGTTTGTCAAGTCCAACTATCTTCAAATATTTTAGTTTGTGGGCCATCTTACTTTATGCTTATACATCTGTACAACTTTTCCCCACTTCCAATTAGCCAACACGGTTAATAAGCTTTAAGATAAGGAACAATAACTCTCTTTTTTCTAAAGGATATAAAAAACAGGTAAGGACAGAAATTCTGAAAATATAAACAAGAAGAAAATTGTGCACTGATCAGCATACATTCATTGGTGTGATGAATGTACATTTTCTTGGAAATATAAGAAATGCCTCACAATACAAAAATATATGCAGATTGCCAAAATAGGTACATCTCAGATAAGACATGTATTCTTCTGATAATCACCAAATTCAATTAGGCTTCCTTCATTTTTTTTTTTTTTTTCAAAAATTGATAAGGTATGATACCTCAGAAGGTATGATGTTGATGACAATTTCTTCAATGTGGAGCAGTTATTTGTATGACTGTCACAGTGAATCTCATGAATCTAACATTAAAATCATTTTTTATGAGTCAACACCTCCTTCCTTTTACTAGTATTTCCCTTGAAGTTTTAATAATCTCTAAATTCATTTATATCATTTAATGTTTTTTTAATCAGAACTTTGCAGAATATACTCAAAATTTGCTGCTTTTCATTTTTGTTAATCGCCAGATGTACCTTTTTTACCAGATGTACTGGGTACCTATAATATTTTGGCATAACATACCAGTATGTACAGGGTAGTACTAGTACAAGCCCTGAGCATGTTTCAAAAAGGAGTTCTGAAGAAAAAATGGTCTGTTGAATGCAGAACTGAGAAAGTTACAAATTTCTTTATATCCATACCAACCTATTGCATTCCAGGATGCCACAGTTTTTCCTCCAATCATCTGGTGTTGAATCCATGCCTACTAATTGTTTATTCCCAAAGTGAAACTGAAAATCATCAAATCAAGTTACCAGTAGAAAATGAACTACTGTAAATATGAAACATAAGTTACATGTATATAATTTTATATTGATATCATACAATTCACAGAAATTATTTGGTCAGAATAATATCTATTATATAAAAAATCTTTATTGATAACTCTGTTATTCTATAAATTGAAACACACGGTCAATTTCTGCACAACATCTACCAAGATACTGGTAAATAATTACATGCAATGTGGTAAACAAATGCAAAAAAATCTGCCATCAAACGTTGATCACATTTTACTTATATATCAAAAGAATTACTTAAAGTAGGCTTAATTGTATCTATAGATATATATATATATAACGTCCTACAAGTTACTTAAGTTTACTGTACCTGTGAAACTTTCCGACTTTCTTTTCTACACGTAAAGTACAGTACTGGTACTCTACAGGTCAAAATATCTCACATTTCAGCTGCCCTCGTTCTACTTGATTTCAATGCATGTGTGTGACCAAACTTTTACAAATATAAGTTTAAGTTCCATCGTTTGATTAAACACCTCAGTGCATATCTAAACACTGCGAGGACTGGGATTGTTTTCTGGCTTTTTGACGACCACTACAGCGGTACATTGTCAATAAACACTCTCCATTCAAGGCCTCGTTTTGGATAGTGTTGTTAATTAGGTGAAATGATTTCATAGTGAGGTTTCTGTAACAAATTCCTGAACCGTTGATTTATGGAAATATTGAATTTGGTTATTTGAAAGCAAATTAAACGTTTTATAAAATTTTGAAGACTAAATCGCATTGTTTATTCTCATTGTTTTTAGTTACTATTTATAAGAACATTGCGCTTTTCCTAATTTTCGAAACTAAACGTCATATATCAAACTACAACATCGGCATTGATTACTTCCTCCATTGAACATAATGGGCGGAGAACAAGGGTGAAGAATTTTTGTCCATTTCTGCTAATAAAAATGGCTCGATCGATAACACCCAGCCAGCAAAAGCTGGCGGAAAAGCTAACGATCCTTAATGACAGGGGGATCGGGATGCTTACCCGGATTTACAACATAAAAAAGGTAAGTATGTGTGCTCTCTGACTCACTTTTCAGGTGCCAATGCAATGATGGGAATGCCAAGTTCTGCCACCTTTGCTGAAGTTGACATGTTATTGTTACTTTATACTACTATTCTTTATCACATTTGCCAAGAACATAGATATCACTTTATAATCGCAAAGTGTGCCAAAGATTTCATGGAAAATCTGAAATTTAATTGCTTTCCGCCTTCAGTTTGTGCACTAAGCTTCGTTTGAGCATAAATCATTATTATTTTTTCCCCATTTGGTCATTGATCTTTTTAAAGTTATAACAGGGGGATTTGAAACTCATAATTTTTAGTCAAGATGAAGGCCATTTTCACTTCCACTGCAATTCCTTTCAGTTTTACCTTACCTGCCCCTCCAATGCTCCAATGAACGTTACTGAAAAGTTTTTCTTTTGATGTTAACTGAGATTAGTTTTGAGAAAATGGTGTTAACCTATTTTTCAATTGGCCTTCTAATACAGCTCTACAAAACCCTTGTTTTTAATGATTTTACTGATTGTATATAAATCACAAATTTGAGCATGTGTACTGTGGTAGTTTTTATATTATAGACCCTAGCACACTCAGTAAGTTTTTAAGTACAAAAATAAATGTTATAAAGACGGGGAACTTTGGACTATATTTTATGAATAAGTTGTCAGATCAACCCTAGATATTTTCTGTTAAGCCTAGGTTAATGAAATAGATGGTCTTGTAGCATGGATCGTTAAATATGGTGCTGTATACCAAATCTTAATGCCTTAAATTCAATTTTGGTTTGAAATCTCCAGTGAATGCTCCTATTTAATGAATGTGTTTTGTTATTTTGGCCTATCATTTATTATATAACACATTATTATATCCCAAGACCAGCATGGTGAGTTTAATTTTGATGTAAAGCTGTGTGTGCTTAAAATAGTATTGATTTACTTTTGGTTATGCCCTGTTATTTATTTATTTATTTATTTTTTAATATATATGTTGATTTTATTTGCAGACATTTGTCAATAATTCTTGAACTCAGTGAAAATGTAATTTTGCTTCATTGCTTTTTTCCTATAATCTAATTTCTTTCAAAATGTTTAAGATTTAAAGAAGGGTTGACATAGAGGAATTGCAATGTTATGTTTGTGCCAGAATGAAATAAAAAAACAGACATAAGCACTAAACAAGCAATTTTCTTCTTTTCCAAATGTAATGTATCAGATTTCAGTAAGTTAAAGTTGCTGGCAAAACTGTATAATGTTGTTTAGTTAATGTTTCCTATCATTCCTCTCATTTTTTCTTTATACCTTTGCATATACTTAGATGTGATTGTTTGAAAAGGCAATCTCCATATGTTTATTTTCTGGTAGAAATCCTATTAGACCTTAAAGAATATACTTGTAGTTGTCATTGTCCATAGATGTGCTTAATTAGAATGTGCTTATTTAGTTGAAATATATAGTTACCCATTAGCAATGATTTATGTGGATTTCATAATAAAGATGTCGATAGCCTGCTTTATAATGTCTCCCCTAAGGTGTAGTCTTCAGCAGTCCATCTTTAAAATTGGTACTAGTATGGGTGTCAAGGGAAATGTTTCATATTCTGCTCTTATCTGGGAAAAGTCTTCCTTGCGGCAATTTCTTTATGTCATCTATGTATTGTCACTCCTTGTAAAGTTAAGCTAATACATGTAGTATTGTGTTGTTCTGTAATAGTCTGACAAACTTATTAGAATGAGGATGGGTAAAACAGATGTGTTGAGTTTGCTGAATATAATAAAATGGTAAAAACTTTTTTGATTTGCTAGATGCAATACATATAAGAAAATTGACTTGTAATTTATCTGCCTGTTTATATTTAACAGTTAGTGCAAATCTTGATATTGTCACATGTCAGTTTTCTTTATAGTTTGAAAAACACTAAAAGTCAATAAAAGTATCAAAGCAGGTATTTTAGAAATCTTGCTAGGCTATGTAATCAAAGTCTGTTCCTTTAATTTTACAGATGTTGAGTAATCCAGAGTCCAAGCCATCATTTCTCACAGACAAAGCATTGGAGGCTGCCATCAAAACAGTCTCTAGGAAGTTCCCATTGCTAGATACAAAAAGCTTTGGTGTAAGTTGGATTCTGTGCAACTTTGAACTTTTAAATACTAAGAGCTTTTTGGAAATATTAACTTAAGTTGCAAAGTTCTCAGAGATTAAAAAATTGAACAGGTGGCTGAAATACCTCTTTTTTATGGAGTGTAAATATTGAAAAGCTAAGTATGATTTTTGTCACCAATTTCTGAGAGGGGCTGTTCCTTCATTATAGAACCTGAACTCACATAGTTTGCCNATGAATAAGTTGTCAGATCAACCCTAGATATTTTCTGTTAAGCCTAGGTTAATGAAATAGATGGTCTTGTAGCATGGATCGTTAAATATGGTGCTGTATACCAAATCTTAATGCCTTAAATTCAATTTTGGTTTGAAATCTCCAGTGAATGCTCCTATTTAATGAATGTGTTTTGTTATTTTGGCCTATCATTTATTATATAACACATTATTATATCCCAAGACCAGCATGGTGAGTTTAATTTTGATGTAAAGCTGTGTGTGCTTAAAATAGTATTGATTTACTTTTGGTTATGCCCTGTTATTTATTTATTTATTTATTTTTTAATATATATGTTGATTTTATTTGCAGACATTTGTCAATAATTCTTGAACTCAGTGAAAATGTAATTTTGCTTCATTGCTTTTTTCCTATAATCTAATTTCTTTCAAAATGTTTAAGATTTAAAGAAGGGTTGACATAGAGGAATTGCAATGTTATGTTTGTGCCAGAATGAAATAAAAAAACAGACATAAGCACTAAACAAGCAATTTTCTTCTTTTCCAAATGTAATGTATCAGATTTCAGTAAGTTAAAGTTGCTGGCAAAACTGTATAATGTTGTTTAGTTAATGTTTCCTATCATTCCTCTCATTTTTTCTTTATACCTTTGCATATACTTAGATGTGATTGTTTGAAAAGGCAATCTCCATATGTTTATTTTCTGGTAGAAATCCTATTAGACCTTAAAGAATATACTTGTAGTTGTCATTGTCCATAGATGTGCTTAATTAGAATGTGCTTATTTAGTTGAAATATATAGTTACCCATTAGCAATGATTTATGTGGATTTCATAATAAAGACGTCGATAGCCTGCTTTATAATGTCTCCCCTAAGGTGTAGTCTTCAGCAGTCCATCTTAAAAATTGGTACTAGTATGGGTGTCAAGGGAAATGTTTCATATTCTGCTCTTATCTGGGAAAAGTCTTCCTTGCGGCAATTTCTTTATGTCATCTATGTATTGTCACTCCTTGTAAAGTTAAGCTAATACATGTAGTATTGTGTTGTTCTGTAATAGTCTGACAAACTTATTAGAATGAGGATGGGTAAAACAGATGTGTTGAGTTTGCTGAATATAATAAAATGGTAAAAACTTTTTTGATTTGCTAGATGCAATACATATAAGAAAATTGACTTGTAATTTATCTGCCTGTTTATATTTAACAGTTAGTGCAAATCTTGATATTGTCACATGTCAGTTTTCTTTATAGTTTGAAAAACACTAAAAGTCAATAAAAGTATCAAAGCAGGTATTTTAGAAATCTTGCTAGGCTAATGTAATCAAAGTCTGTTCCTTTAATTTTACAGATGTTGAGTAATCCAGAGTCCAAGCCATCATTTCTCACAGACAAAGCATTGGAGGCTGCCATCAAAACAGTCTCTAGGAAGTTCCCATTGCTAGATACAAAAAGCTTTGGTGTAAGTTGGATTCTGTGCAACTTTGAACTTTTAAATACTAAGAGCTTTTTGGAAATATTAACTTAAGTTGCAAAGTTCTCAGAGATTAAAAAATTGAACAGGTGGCTGAAATACCTCTTTTTTATGGAGTGTAAATATTGAAAAGCTAAGTATGATTTTTGTCACCAATTTCTGAGAGGGGCTGTTCCTTCATTATAGAACCTGAACTCACATAGTTTGCCAAATGCTTACCAAATGATAACATTTTAACCTTCATAACAAAACAAAATGATGCCATTAATCCTCATCAAGGGAGCTACTTCCATAATTATTTACACAGCTATGATTTATCACAGTGACTATTTTAAACACAATTTTTATTGAGGAGAAACAGTTTTTCTTTCCACACTTTAAATGGTTACCATTCCATTTTTTCAGAACCAAGTGGCTCCAGTGAGTCATTTTAAGACAGAGATCATCAGGTCACTGTCCTTGTACTATTACACATTTGTGGACATACTGGACTTCAGGGTGAGTTATAATGTTAGATAAAGGTTTATTACCTAATTAACCTTTATGCCTGTGAGTGTGAAAATGAATATAATCAATATTTAAAAATTTTTACCTTTTCTCTTGTAACAATTGAAGCATTTTATAGTCCTGTGGAATTTGTTTTATTTGTTTATAAGATGGATGACCTATATGTTTTAGTAATGCTGAAAAAATTCAATCTGGCATTTACTGTAATTTTTAGGATCATGTGTCTGAGGTTCTTACTACGATGGATGCACACCAAGTGCGCTTGGATATTGTAAGTATCTTATCATTTAGATTTATTTGGAATTTGTACTTGTTAGAAAAGAGAACAAACTATAAGATGCCACTTCCTGGTTAGTATGATCTGCCCTGAATTTTCATTATATATTCCTATCAAACATAGATAAGATAACATTTCCAATGAGAGCTAAGTGGGGCAGCTTGTGTAAACCTTGATAAAGAAATGAACTCCAAGTAGAAAAACTATTTGACATCTAAATATTGTATTGCTTTGAGAAAAATAACATTACGATTTATGTGCATAAAATGTAAATGTCTGTGAGACATAACAACTTGCAATTAAACAATTGCAATTAGGCATATTTACAAGAAGCTTAAATTTTGTTTTATAATAAAATTGCCATTTTTAACATTTTTGCTGATATATGAAAGAAGATTAGAGTCAATTTGTTAGTGTGGAATTTTACTATATATCCCCTATTCTATTTCATCTTAATTGCTATTTTCTAGGGAGCAAACTTTGACCTGACCAAGAACTATCTGGATCTGATTGTAACATTTGTAGCTATCATGATATTGGTGTCCAGAGTGGAAGACAGAAAGGCAATATTGGGTCTCTTTTATGTTGCTCATGAAATGCATCAGAATGGTCAAGGGTAAGTCATAGACATCAGAGACAAGGATAAAATTAGTTGATAACTAAGTATCACTTTCAAACCTAATCTTTTCATCATTTGGTTGAAATAAATACAATAAACACTTGATTTGTTGTAGATTGTAAACCTAATTGAATAAATTCTAAATATTATTTTTCAGGGACCCTTCTTTTCCCAGACTTGGTCAGATGATTCTGGACTATGACCCACCATTGAAAAAGCTCAGTGAAGAGTTTGTACCACATGCAAAAGTTAGTGCTGTTACAATATTATTAATGTATTATTAACATTTGGGTATATTTAGATATTGATATGTAAATTATATAAATATACATGCTTTTGTAGTATTTTGTAAAATGTTACTGGTGTAAAGTGTAATAATTATTTTTTAATTAATCTTGTAACTTTTCTAAAAACTTTTAAATGAATTATCAGGAAGTGGTGAAATCATTCACATGCATTAAAAAGTGCTGATTTTATTTCCTCACACTAGATGGTGACACTTGCCCTACTGTCATTAAACGACATCTACCACAGGAGGAGCATGCAGGCTCACCAGTGGAGGTCTGCTCAAATGCTCAGCCTCATCGCTGAACCTGCTAAGATCATGAACACAGCACAGGAAGATATGGTGAGGAAAGATGATGACACGAAACAGATAATTTGATGCATTGATATTATTAGTTATACATTTCTTTATACAAATGGGTTTCATAACTTTGCGTAAATTATGAATTAATAAAATTAGGTTTTTGTAAATTATGTATAATAGTAATAATAATAATTAGGACAAATTGTATATGAAATTTAAAATAAGTTTTGAACTGCATGTTCTCATCTTTCACAACCTTTGTTTGTATTGACTTATTGTTAATTTATTTTGGATTCTTAAGTGGTACTTTGCAAGTGTTTTAAAATCTGACCGAAAAAATTTTATCTGAAAAACCATTGTTCATATTTTAGATGCCTTGTGAATATGTATCATTAGATGTGATGGAGAGATGGATTCAGCGTAAGTATTTCAATGAAAGGTCAAATCATTTTGTAATATGTAGAAAGTTCTGTGCAGGTAGTGAAATATTATGTCAGTAGAGTACATTTAAAAGAAATTAGTCCATGCCATGTCTGATTCACCATCAGACTGAGTGTTTTCTGTGAGATTGAGTCAAGTACATTATCATTTTAACATCAGAAGATGACAAAACTGTATTTGTGCATTTTTCCAGTTGGATTCCTACTGTGTCACCAGCAGTTAGCTCACCAGGATGCGCTGGAGTTGTGGAAACAGTCTCTGCATGGTAGTTATGTTGTCACACTGTTCAGGGACGAGGTACTACATATCCACAGTTATGCACAGAATTACTTTGAAAACATAAAAGGGTGAGTTTTGTCTTTTAACTGTCATTTGGATCTTTTATCAATGATGACTAACCATTAAGGCTTCGTTCACATGCAATGTCTATTTTCTAAATTCTATTTTCTATTCGCGCTATCTTATGATCACGGTCTGTGCACTGAATATTCCGCCGCGTAATTACTGGCAGCGCGAGCCAGTTACTCATAGTAACTTATAGTAACTGGCTCGCGCTGCCAGTAATTACGCCGCGGGATATTCAGTGCACAGACCGTGATCATAAGACATACCGAAAATAGAAAATAGAATTTAGAAAATAGACATTGCATGTGAACGAAGCCTAAGTAGATATTATATAAACTCTCTGTACAAGCTAAAAGAATTGATTAGCTAGGGCCTGAAAAGAGATAAGAAATTAGACACTACAGTGGACATCATTGTTAAGCAGGAAACTGTAAAATGTCAAAATGTATTGTCACTTTATTATAAGCAAATCAAAGTGTGTAATCCTTTGAATATTTTCTAGCAGTAACCTGAAAATTTAGATTTCTTTACATGTTATTTACAATATGTGTTTATTATCTTAACATTTTCACAGATATGGTAAAAGAGTAACTGAAGTCAAGGATTGGTACAACCAGTGTTTACACCAGGCGTGAGTATCAGAAGTTTAGAGATTCTTAATAAGATTATTATTTTATTTTGTTAGATTTTAGTACCATGCATTTTGAAACATGTCAATTTGATACACTTTACTGTGTAAGATATTGACTTTAATTTAACTGAATTTAATCCATATTTGTTAAACTTTTGTTATGTTTATATACAGATCTGTCTTTCACAATTTTTAGATTAATTTTAAATTTTTAGATTAATTTTAAAAGTTTAATTTAGTTGAATGTGGCCCATGTTTACTGTCAAATGCATGTCACAATTTGCTTAAGTTTGGATAGATTATGGTTGTATCATTTTAAAAATTAATTTTTCTATTTAAAGATTTTGTAAAGCATTATACTTTCACATTTACTTCACAGTCCAGCAATTCACAAAGACAAGAGGAAATTCCTGAGATCTGCTCTGAAAGAACTGGCCCTTGTCTTCACAGACCAGCCTGGACTGCTAGGACCAAAGGTAAGACAGAGACATGAATAATGCACTGATAATGTTCAGGCACTCAACTGATATTAATCTTTGGTATGGTTGTAAATTTTGCCAAAGGTATATTTTATTAAGTTGAAAGAAGAGCTTGTAAAAAGATGTCATTATTTGTCATTAAAAACTTTGTCATTTACATTTAAGTATTTAGCAATACAGTATTCAACAGAACAGAGATGTGCATTTTTTTCATCCTCTGTGGTATTTATTAATTACTACCACCAGCGTCTACGCTGGCGGTACTCATGGTTTTAGTCCTGACCCGTCTCGTACAGCTCCGCCGGCTCCTGCAGCTCCGCTGGCTCTGCAGGATGGCGTGGGATACAAGTCACCGCTTCTCCTCCTAGACCGCAAGGACCTGTGTCCCCATCTCTTGGATTTAAGTCACATGTAATCTCAACTTGAACCCCCTGTTTTTTTTTTGTCTCAGTTGGTGCATTGGCCTGGGCGTGGCGCTCGTTCAAACACACCCTTGTCAAAATTTTTGAAAATTCAATGCTAAATATCTCCCAAACTAAAGGAATTATGGGAAAAATTTCTACAAAAGCTTGACCGAAAGTCATATGTGGAGATTCCAAATATGCCCTGGGATTTGACTTTTGACCTTTATTTCAAGGTCAAACGGGCCAAAATTTTCTAAAAATGGGAATTTTCTGCAAAAAAATATTTGTTTGTGCCAATTTTCAGAAACTACACAGACCTAAGTTCTCATATCATAATGAGAACCTTGAAATTGACCTTTGACCTACTTTTCACCATGAACTGAACTTTGCAAATCTAGCCCTTATATCTCGTTTATTTTGATGCCATTTAAATGTCTTTGCTATATATTTCTATGCCTATGCAATTTCAGGCCCTGTATGTATTTCAAGCACTTTCCTTTGCACGTGATGAGATCCTTTGGCTCCTGCGCCATGTGGACAATCCACCCCCCAAGAAGGGTGGGGTCAAGGTGGCACTGGAGGACTTTGTAGACAGGTGCAGAAATTTTATATTCTTCCTTGAAATTTATTTACATGCTTGCTTATGGAATGACAAATAATTTTTCCTTTTCCAATGAAATGGATATTGATAAATTAAATTTAAAAATTGCTTTTAGAATAACCACATTTAAGTCATCAGTATATGTGTAATCTGGCTGCAAATTTATGTTGATGATAAAATTATCAAAATAATTTTCAGACAAATACCAGAATTATTATTCCACATGGAAGAGTTGAGAGGTGGGTACATTTTAACCCTAGAAATGATCATCTTATAATTTATTACAAATGGCACACATTTGCCCTCCCAGTTATACTGTAAACAAGTTTGTCTTGGTTCTCATTCAATTTGGGCAGGTAGTCCATGCCATCTTTATATATGACTTATACGTACCTATAGTTTTATTGTCCTACTCTGTTACCCCAGCTTTGGTGAAGAAGTACAGTCAGGTGATGCAGAGGTACTATGTGCAGTTCCTATCGGGATATGATGCTGTTGTCCTTAATGGCCTCATACAGGTATGTCTTCCTTTCTGAACCCACAAAAATGAGTGTGTTAATACAGAATGTTAATTTTTGACAATAAACTTTCATGATAACAAGATCTATAAAGAATGGTAGAAATTCTTTTAGCTGGAACATAAATTGATACTTTGCCAGCCAATATTTCGTCTGATAACAATCGGACTTCATCAGGGGGTAATGTACGTTCATAAATACTGTAGATAGGTATGAATATTAGATTATGATATTTGTATTTAAATTGCAGACCTTGTCAGTTTGTCCAGAAGATGAGTCCATGATTTTGTCTTCATTTTACAATACTATGACCAGCATATCTGTAAAACAAGGTGAGTTGGAAGTTTGAAATATTCTTTATTCCAACATTCATAGCTTGATGTAGAGGTTACTCCATAAAAAGTTCTCTTAGGGGTTTGTTAAACTTTGAGCCATATTGATGGCAAGACTTCAGCACAGGGTAATCTGTTTTATTCTGTTTTAGTGGAAGAAAATGAACTGTTTGACTTCAGGGGACTGAGACTTGACTGGTTTAGATTACAGGTACGTTTTCTTATATAACAGTTCATACATTGGGAAAATAATATCAGAAATACTTCTAAATAAAAAAGTTTTCATAATCATTTTTGTGCACAATTCTCATTTCACTCTTAAATATTTCCACAATAGAGGCCATTCATTATAGTATTGGCATTTCTGTTAGCTGTTTTATGTCAGTTTGTTTTAAGTAACAGCAGGTAAATATGTTTTATTAATTTTCTCCTGTAGGCCTACACTAGTATTGGGAAGGCAGGCTTCAACCTTTTAGAACACAGGAATCTAGCCAGACATATGAATACTGTCATCTTCCATTCCAAGATGGTAGACTACTTAGATGAGATGCTGATAGAAACATCTGATCTATCCACTTATTGGTGAGTGTGATCTCACTGGTACCACTTTTAAGTTTTGTGGAGATGCACATGCAGATTATCTATTGCTGGGTTTACATGTGAAAATTATTGATGTAGTCAAATCACTTAATTGGTTTTTCTGTCAATTGAAGCATATTGTAGGGATTTTACACGCTAGTTTAAGCCTAGAATTGTGTAAAATAGTCTCTTTAAAGCTTTAAATTCATTTTAAATTATGAATACATGCCAATAAGATTAAACTGCTTTCTGAACGTTAATAAAACATAACTGTCATATTTTTCATGGTCAGTTTTCATACCACCATATTTGAGCTCCAGTTCAAGCAATGTATGGAGCTGCCAGCCCAGCACAGGTTCAGCATTGCCTTCCCCTTGGTCTGTGCTCACTTCATGAATGCTACACACGAACTTTGTCCAGAAGAGGTGAGTAAAATCAGATTTAGTGAGTCACTGGGTTTTGTATGTTTAATATATATATTTGAAAAATGTTAATGTTAGCTACACTGCATTTGTCTTTTATGAGGAAGTAAAGATATTAAAATTTTTATTTCATAAGCTCAATATTAGTATGATGTTTAATTGGATCATCCAATACATAGAGAGAAATTATTTATGCTCTTTTAGCACTATACTGAATACTGAATACCAGTGACTTTTGTAGAAAATAATTTAAAACATCTTGCCTTTAAAAAGAAAATATAAATAGCAAAATGATCATATATCCTTTTAAAAAATTCAAAAATTTAACATTTAAAATATAATTTGAAATAAGCGCCACTCCATTGGCACAACCAGCATCCAGTACGCCAACTGGTTCCTGAAGGAAATGTCTGAGGAGGTGAACCAGATCATCACCTTTATATGTGAGGAACAGTGCATGCTAGCTGACAAGGTAAGCAGTGATATTTTTATTGGTGTGTGTGTGTGTGTGTGGGGGGGGG